GAGGGGGGTGGGAAAGTATAAAAGGTCGTCTCGTTACTTTTTATCATCCTTAAAACTAGCACGGAAGACTATCAAAAACGTAATAACTATCGTAAAGCGTGAGCCTCAAACCATAGAAGAGGATTACTATGAACTGTAATTACCTGCTTTAATCGAGGAAGATGATCGCAGTACGTTTATCTTTTTTTTTTTTTTTTTTTTTTTATTATTACCCTTTCAAAATAATAAAACTATTTGAAGTCTATATATGTTTTTTATTTTTTTTTTTTTTGGTTCATTTCTATTGTTTTCTTTTTCTCTTTTCTTTTTATTCTCGTAAACTTTGGTCAAGTGTTAGTGGGATAATATTAAATGAATTTTTTATGACTAAGTAAATTGTTAAATAATATATATGTATTGACAATAATAAAAAATTTATACGATGTGTTTAACGATGGTGATAAAACAATTTTTATTGTTTATATATTTATATTTATTATTTTTAAAATTGTTTTTCTTTTTTTTTCTTTTTATCGAGCAAGTTGATTGATAATAAATTTATGCTGGTATATTTTTTTATTGGGTATTGATGAAAATTATATTTATTTATATATAAATAATTAATTATATTTTATATATATATATTTTTCTTATATATTTAATTATATTTAAGTTATTTTTTCATTTTTGTTTTCTATAAAATTTAATTTCTTGTAAAGAAAAATTTTGTATTTAAAATATTGTTATTTATTAAAAGAAGATTTTGAATTAATTTATAATTGTACTATACTCAAAAATTATCAAAAAAAAAAAAAAAAATTCAGCTGAAAAAAATAATAAATAAATAAATCATTAAAATAATATTATTATATTATATTTAAATATATTTTATTTATAATTGTATTATATTTATCATTTTAAAAATATTATATTTATATTATGTAATATTATAATTATTATTATAATTATATAATTAAATATTATATTTAAATATATTTTATTTATACTTGTATTATATTTATCATTTTAAAAATATTATATTTACATTATGTAATATTATAATTATTATTATAATTATTATTTTAAATATTATATTATTATATTATATTTAAATAATAATTATATTATTATTATTATTATTATTATTATTATTATTAATTTCATTATATAAATAATAATTTTCTATCAAATACAAATCAAATATTAATTTATTAAATTATTACTAATTAAATAAATATATATGTATATCAATACTAAAATCAAACAACAAATCATACGAATAATAAAATCATTATATTTCAAATTTCATAAAAATGAAATTAAATAATAAAAAAAAATAAAAAGATTAAAATACATTAAAAATATTATTAAACAAAAAAATCTATACAAATTTATAGAAAAATGAGAATACAATTTCACAACACATACACACATACAAATATTGTAAAATTATTTATTTATATTAATTATACATTAATTATATATTATTATATATTAATTTACAAATTTGTAAAATAAAAAAAAATCTGTACAAATTTATAAAAGTTAAGAATACAATTTCACCATACACACATTCATAAACACGCGGCACGTGCATTTAAAAACACAAATATGAAAAGTGAAAGTTAAAAATAAAAGGAAGAATAAAAAAAACCAAAGAAAAGAAATAAAAATGTGTTGACATTCTGGGTGTGTGAAATAAAAAAAGAAAGAAAAAAAGAATAAGATCCGTTTATAGATGTGTCATTTCTTGTATAAATACAATAATAAAATTCATCGTGTATTACTCGTCAGATTCGTTCGTATCCATTATCAACAAGAGAAACAGAGAGAGAAAGAATTACAGAAAGAGAGAGAGAGAGAGACAGATAGACAGATAGAGAGAGACACTGATAGACAGATAGAGTAAGAGAGAGAGAGTGAGAGAGTAGATACATGATATTTCACATTGAGAACATTGTAATACAAAGATAGTGTCAGTTCGTCAACGGATTGAAAAGGATCGCGTACGGCGTTTTAATCATAATATTCAACACTCATTAAACATAAAACGTATAATTATAATAATAATAATAATAACAATAATAATAATAATAATAATCTAAAGATACGATGCCAATTTAATTAATTGTTCGTCAAATTATCAAAAAGAATTATTAAGAAGAAAAAAAAAAAGAAAAAAAAATTCCGAATCACTTAAAAGTGTACAACGAGAGATAACGACGAAGCCGGTAAAATTGTTATTGGTTTTTATTGCGCATGCGCACAAGAAGTAAAGAAAGATAGAGCAAGTAGAAAGAAGTGGTGGTGGCGGTGATGGTGATGAGGGTGGAAGGGAAGGGGTGCATCGAATAAGAATAGATATTTAATTTTAAACGTTTGAAATCTAATCACGAACGGTTTTATTCAAGGACAATTATCGATTAGTTTCGTGAAAATAATTTGAATTGTTTTTCATTTTGTTATTTGTTTTGTTTGATTTTAGTTTTTAATTTATAAACCTTACGTGTTATTATTCATCTTTATTTAGTTTTACGTGCAAGTCAACCTATCTTTCTCTCTCTCTCTCTCTCTTTCTTATACCTCACTAGACACACACACATACACATATATATATATATACATATACACGTATGTACACATATTAACAGAACGGGAGAGTCTCGAACGAGACGATCATCGTTCAGTCGCGAGTTTAAAAGAAAAACTGTGTATTTTGTCTGTGTGTGTGTGTTAGTGTTACGAAAAATATTTTTACAGTGTAATGTGTCTTCTGTGAGTGACTGTGTGTATTAATTTAAAAAACAGTGTTATTTCATTTAACGTGTGTTTATAATCGACCTGAGAAACTCGTAGGATTTAGTAAACCATAAGAGAATTAATTAAAGTTATTTTGCAAACTTGGAAAGCAACAACAACAACAACAACAACAACAACAGTAGGAACAGCAGCAGCAGCCGAACCAAAAGCAACAACTACTTGAACTAGGTATTGGTAAAGGGACGAAGAAGGAAGTAAAGGAAACCAAGTAACATGACCACAGAACACGAGAGAGATAGTAGGGTTAGGTTGAGAAGGACCAAAAGCGTCACTCATGCTGAGGATATACAAAAGGCTGAACAACTAGTCAGAAAATCTCAACCAGATAAACCGTAAGTAATAATATATTATATAATTCGATTATAACAACACTTATTTTTCATAAATCATAATCATAATTATAACTCAATTAATAGTCTACCAATGAGAGATTAGAATTAGGATTGTATACAAAAAAAAAAAACATCGATTATCAGTGTTTGATAATTGTTAAACTATGTTTCATTTTATATAAGCACTATCGTTGAACAATTTTTGTGTTTTTGTTTTTTTCTTCACATAAAGATAAAATATATTATGAATATATAATTAAATGAAGGATTTAGAAGATTAATATAAAACAATATAACACAAGAAAAAAAAAAGTAAGAACTTTATTATAAGATAAACACAGTAACGAGGCTAAATGCGACGACGCGAAATTTTCAAGAGCTTCAGAGAACACTCTCTCTGTTCCTATCGGTTCTATGACTTTGCACAGTATGAGAGTACTGCGCAATGCGCAAGCGCGCGTGCGCGTAAGTTCATGCGTTCTTGTCTCTGCCCTTCCTGCCTGTTTGACTGTCTGCTGTGTATCCGTTTGTTTGTCTGTGTTTTAGGCACAGAAAGAGAGGGATCATTGAGGAATCTTCCTAACTCACACAACTATACCTTCTTTTTTACTCACACATATACTAAACTTCGAATTATTCTATCTCTCTCTCTCTCTCTTATTCGGACCTTAGGGTTCCAATCATTCTCTCTCTCTCATTCTCACATATACCTGCTTGCTTGCTTTCTCTCTCTTTCACATTCTGTTAAACCCAAACACCTTGTTTTTCCTCTCGTTTTATCTTCGATTTTTATTCTTACTCTGTCTCTCTCTCTTATTCATATGTTTGTTTCATTTCACATGATCCTTCTCTCTCTCTCTCTCTCTAACACTCATTCTTATGACTTGGTTTTTCTTTCTTTCTCTTTCACACATACACTTGTTCTTTCACTCTTACTCATACATTTGTATTTCTTTCTCTCTCACTCACAATATATACTACTTGATTTTTCTCTCTTACTTTTTTACACATACATTTGTTATTTCTATCTCACTTTATTAACTAACAAAGTATTAACTTTCTCTCACTCTTACTCAGTTTTATTTGTTAACTTTTTCTTATTCAAACTTACTCTCTCTCTCTCTCTCTCTCTCTCTCTCTCTCTATCTCTATCTCACTTTTCCTAGTTCTTTTATTTATATCGTTTCTATTTGTTACTAGACAAGAGTTTGTCTTTTTTACTACTTCGTCACGTGTAGTAATCGATGCGAACCACTCACTATACTCTTTGCTCTTTTTATTTCTTCTTCCTGTTTCCTCCCCCCTACCCCTCTCCCATCCTCCCTCACCTCTGTTTTCCCCTCTTTACCTTTCTACCAAGTCTTCACTTTAACCAACGATATTTCTTTCTCTCTTTCTGTTCACATCGTTCTCATCATTCCTGCCAACTCGTTTACGCAAGATCGAGAAATACCTCTTGCGGTTAACATCGATCGTTTCGTCTAGTAACATAACCTTGTTCTTCGTTATCTCGAACGCCATTTTTTCTTCTTTTTTATTTTTTTTTTTTTCAAATGTATTCTTGTTCCATTACTTCATTTCCGTTATTTTTTTTTTTTATTATTCTTCTTCTTTTTTTTCAAACGTATTCTCGTTCTATTATTTCTTTCCGTTATTTTATTTCTTTTTTATCTTCATTCGATACGTTATCGAACTCGAATACTTCGAATATTTATAAATTATCAATTACATTGTTTGATTTTTAATACAGACTAATTTATAATGAAATTTGTCAGGGATTATTGTTGATAATTATTTTCATTAATTATTAATGTAACAATTTTTTTTTTTTTAAATTTAAATAATCGATTTCAGATTACAGTATACTAGTTTTGGAATTTTCAATGATATTTTTGTCATTTTCATTTAACACATTTGTCAGAGTTATTATTAATAAATATTTCAATTATATTTTTAATATTACAATATTGTATTTAACAATTGGTATAACTGTAATAACCATGCGTTAAATGATTCTGAAGATTTTTTTACAATTAATATAATTTAATCTTATGCATACAAAAATTGTTTACAGTTTTATTTTTAATTTTATTTTTAAACGTGGGATATTTATTTTTTATTTTTCTAGTAATTCTTTTTCTTTTTGGGTGGGGGGAGGGGAAGGTGGATTGACAAGAGATTTTATTTCTTTTCATTTGTGTCATTTTATTTTATTAAAGAAAGTTATTGTTGATTTGATTGTAACGTTGTTAAGATGATAGAGTATATCAAATATGGAAGACATCTTGCATTGTCTATTCTACTAGTAAATTCGTAACTAGTTAGTATTCCATGCTCTTGCTTGGATGTTTGACCAAGTATTGTCTAGATATAGAAGTACCAACTCTCCTTGTGAATTTACTCACTGGATTTTATGGTAAACAAAATACTAATTAGATTTATATATTTGTTTAATCATTTTAAACAATTCTTTAGTTTTTTTTTTGTATTGTCAAATTTAATCTAGATAATTATATATAGATACTTTTATTTTGATTAAAATCAATTGTAATAGTTTATAAATAATAATTAAATTTTATATATAATTTATTATTATTATTATTATTATTATTATTATTTAATTTATAAAATTATATATTATTTTAATTTATCTTTATAATTTTATATATTATTATAATTCAATTAAATTATGTAGTAATATGTAATTTATTATTAATATAATTTAATTTAATTATATGTATTAATATATATTTAATTATTTTTTTAATCTAATTAAAATATATGAAAATATTATTCGTTCATCTTAATAATAAACATTTGATTAATAAATTTATAATAATAATGATAATAATAATGTGATTTATAGTTAATAATTATCTATTAGAAATCATATTAAATATATTTAATTTCAAATTAATTCAAATTCAAAATTATAGAACTTCTAAGACTGAACCTTTCAATATAAATTTTATCCATATCAAATATTTCTAATAATCTTATCAAATAACTAAGATAAAAATACAAGAAATTGTAATATCTATAAAAAAAAAAAAAAAATAGAAAATAAGTACCTTTCAAAGACATGATTAATGTGTTATAGATAATGTTACGATAAATAAGAAAATATATATGTATGTCATGTATAATAATTATAATTACTACGTTCATTTTCATTGAAAACTTTTTCAATTATACGATGATATGTTCTTTTTCTTGTTTTATAATGTTCTATATTCTTTTAACGAGTCATAAGAAAAACTGGCTGGATCGTAAATGTTAATAATTTATCTTCAATGATAATATGTTTTTTTTTTCTTATTACAGTAAATATTGACAATGTTGTAATTGACCGTTCAAAGATCATAGATGAATTTATGAAGAAAATCATACATTGAAGATAATTTTAATATTGTCCTTGTATTCATTTCTTTTTTATTTCTTTCTTCTTTTTTTTACACTTATTTTTTATAATCAAATAATTGCAAACATCGATTCATTTAAAATATACGTTTCAATAATCTTTATTACAACAATTATTGAAATTATTGCAAGTGTTTGTTTAAAGATCATAGTTGAGTTTGTTAAGAAAATTGCAAATAATTTTAATACCTTCTGGTAGTCGTTTATTTTTTTTAAATTTATTTTTTTATATTAAATTAATTTTAAATATCAATCTGTTTAAATATAAGATTCAATGATTTTTAATACAATAAATATTGAAATTATTGCAAGTGTGTTCAATGTTTGTTTAAAGATCGTAGTTGAGTTTGTTAAGAAAATTGCAAATAATTTTAATACGTCCTTCTATTCGCTTTTTTTTTAAATTTATTTTTTTTTTTTATAATAAATTAATTGTAAACATCGATCCGTTTAAATATACGTTTCTATCTTTCTCTTTCAGTTTTGTGTTATTTCGATTGGCTATGCAACGCAATGTATTTTACGTATTAATTAATTACACATCAAACAGCTCGAAGTAATTATTTTGAAGCATCGATGTAACATTTGATCGAATTTCTATCTACTTTCCTGTATATATAAAAAATATATAGATATATCACAATGGTTTATAAATAAACTTGTGTGTATCAAATAGTTAAAAAACAATTGTCGGATCAAATATACAAAATTGATCATTAAATTGTACATTTCATTTTCTCTTCTTATTTCTTTAAATTTATCTTTTAACAGAAATGAAATTTTCTTTACTGTTTGTATATATTTTTCAACGAATTGTTTAACATTGATTTACATTTTTATTTGTTTGCATTAACAGAAATCGATTTATCGTAATTAAAACGATATAGGATTTTTGCTTTTATCAAAATGTGCTATACCGATTCAAATTTATTAATTTTTTGAGAAGAAATGTTGAATTAAAAAATGGTTAAGTAATTTGATCAATTAATTCCTTATTTTTTTTTATATAAACTTTTTATTATTTGTTTTGTAATTTTATCACATGTATAAATAATTGACTTAATATTTGGTTTCATATAACAAAAAATTGTTTTTACAAATTCAAATTAGTCGCGAATAATTTCGTAGGTTAGGTCAAAAATTATCTGGTGATTTTACTATTCCTATTAATTTTTTTTTAAATTTTTTTATTGCAATTAAATTGCTGCATTTTTACAAGAAACATTTGTAATTTTGTTTTTCTACAAAAATAATTAATTTAATATATTGTAATAAATTTGTTCCAATTAATTATGTATTTTTTTTTTTTTTGTTCAATTTGATGAAACTTTTCATTCATCTAGGAACTTCTTATATAGTTTTTTTTTTTTTTTTTTTTTTAGTATTAAAATACCATAGAGTAAGGATATTCTATTGAATGAAAAATAAAATCAAACTTTAAAGTACAATGAACTTGATTTATATTGTTTGAACAATAATGTTATAAAATACGACAATGTAGATAATTAGTTGGATCGATTAATCGATTCTCTTTTCGTCTACCTGACAATATCACATAGAACCCTTATCTCATCTTCTCA